GCTCTAGCCCGAGTGATTCTGAGACCTTCAGCATCCCATAAAAAACACAGGGAAACTTTCCGGAGATATAAGCACTTCAGTTCCTCTTTACTGTGCTTCCCAGAGCCAGGCTCTGTGGCCTTAGGAAGAAGCCACAAGCCAGAGGTACAAGGCTCAGGAGATGATGCTGAGGATGAGGAGATGAGCATGGGACCTACTGGGGGTGGTCCAAGCAAGGAACAAGAGGGGAGTGGCAAGAAGGGAGGCTCTGAAACAAAGGACATGGCAAGACATGAATTTGAGGAAGGTAAAGTCTAGGGGTCACCAAGTAAAGGAAATACTGAAAAAGAAAAGCAGCTACAGGATTTACCTGGACCTAGGGGTCAGCTATGGCAGAGAGGAAAGGCCAGGTTTCCCAAAGGATGGGAGTGCGGCTGACGGTTTTACTGTCTAGTTTTACTTTCTTCTCTTCTGTTTCGATATGAAAGGCACTTCAGTCACTATCCTTTTGAATAACTGAAATTGCAGAAAGGGGTTGGGAGTGAAGGAGACAAAAAATTTCAGGTTTTCACAGAGCCCTGAGCATGGACATAGTTTGGGCACTAACAGTGGATGTAAGGAGAAAAGAAAGGAAAGGAAGGAAGATGGGGTGAAAAGTAAGGAAACATGCAAGGGTGTTGGACTCAAATGGCGTCCTGTGCATGAACATGCAGTGTACGGACTGGGTGCTGAGGAAACGTGCCCTGCTTTCCATGAGCTCATGTTCTACTTGAGAATATCCTACCCATGGTGTACAACCTGAGGCAGAAGTGGCTGAAAGCCCCAGAGAACTGACCAACTGTGCTTTGACCTCAGAAGGAAGGCTCCCTAGAATCAATGGCCTTTGCCTGGGCCCTGGACATTTATGTAGGAGAGGGATAGATAGAAGGGGCCCACTCCACTCTGCAGAGCAACTCCCCCACCTCTTAAAACCCAGGGGCTATATGCCTCTGTGGGGACAGATCTCTTTATCCTGGACATCTTCATTATCTAAGAGCATGATTTCCAAGTGCCCACTTGCATCAGGTCAGAGGTGAGTTCCTACTGACCCACGGCAAAAGGAGGCAAAGATAAGTTGTTAAGTTCTTCACAAATAACTTACAGTCTATTTAAAGGGCTATTTATCTATTATCTATCATTGATTGGTCTATCTATCATCTATCTATCTATTTATCTATCTATCTATCTATCTATCTATCTATCTATCTATCTATCTATCTATCTATCTATCTATCAATCATCTATCTTACAATCGTGTGTGGTATATACAAGTGTTTTGCTACACTCACCCATGAGAGCATGTGTGGAGGCCGGAGGTCAACCCCACATATCTTTCTTAACTGCTTCTCCACCATGTTTTTTGAGACCTGAACCTGGAGCTCACCGTTTTGGCAAAACTGGCTTGGCCAGCAAGCCACAAGGACCCTTCTGTCTCTGTCCCCCAGTGGCAGGGTCCCAGGTACACAGTGCCACACCTGGCCTTTCTATGGGTGCTGCAGCTTGGGTCCTCCTACCTTCGTAGTGAGCACCTACTGCTGAGCCAGCTCCCCTCAGGAATAGCTGTCTTTAAAAAGATGGTCTGTTATTGTGATGTTAAATCCTTCCTAATTAAAAACTATGAATTTATTTATTTATTTATTTATTTATTTATTTATTTATTTATTATTTCTGAGTGGGAGGTAAGAGCTATGGTACATGTGTGGAGGTCAGAGGAAAATTTGTGGGAGTCTCCTTCCACTATGTGCATCCTGGAGATCACATGCAAGTCATCAGGCTTGGCCATACACACTTTTACCTGCTGAGCCATCTGGTGGGCCCTGGCTCTGTGTGTGTGTGTGTGTGTGTGTGTGTGTGTGTGTGTGAATCTGTTGCTCAGACTGCCTTGAACTCTTGGTTCTCTTGCCTCAGTCCCCCAAATGCGGGGATTCCAGGCATGCACCGTCACTCCTATCTTTGTCCTAATTCTTTGATAAAAATGTCTTTTTAGTAAAAGGGTGTTAATAGAACATAGTTTATTTTAGGTGTTTATTTCTAAATATGTTTACTTGGAAAGTTGATAGCTGGCCAACCACATTCTTCCCTAAGACTTTGCTGATCTTAAAACACCTCAAAGTCTGAGAACAATTGGTCAAAGGTCCTTGCAGAGCCTGTGGAAGCAAGCAGGCCCATTCAATGAGAGGCCACCTTTTCTTTTCCTGTCTCCTTAATCAAGCAATAATAAACTGACTCACACTAAGGCAGGCACAAGGGAGGCCAGATTCATACAGCCTCCCTTGGGGCATTTGGATTTTTGTAGAGTATAAAAACTTAATTCAGACCAATGAATTGTAATGATGAGTTTCGAACTCTTCCATAGGGCAATGTGAAAAATATATTTTTTAGACAAAGGACTTTCTCCTGACATGAAACCACACCTTTCAAATAATCTGCTAGAGAGGAGGCAAGGGTAATAAGTGATTCTGTCTTCTGAACCAAAATGTCACGGTGAAAAGAAATACTGACCTTCTCTCTGCCTTTCTCCAACACGGGCCTCATCAGGCCACCCCACCCCCTGCCCCCTTGGCAGTCAAGCAGCTCGATAGTAGGTCTCAGAAGACCAAATCGTGTTTGAGTCAGTTTTCTGAAGCATGCCTGTTGCTCCTGGTGGAAATGGATTATCCCACCTACCTCCGGATTCCCAAAGAGTTGGGTAGTGCCTGGTGTAGGAATGCAAGAGAAGATAAATGAGGAAGCAATTGGATACAGAGTGCTAGATTAAGTACAGTTCAGCTCTGGTGGGGCACCTCTTCGAGGACTACGCTTGGGTAATGAAGCTGCTTAAAGCCCACAAACCTTTGAAAGCTGTGATTGTCCCAACTGCAAATCACAGGGGGAACCATTCAGTTCCTTGAGGACAGAGGGAGTCTGGGCTAACAAAGGAGAAGGGGAACCCTGGAGGAAGGCCTGGGAAGGCAAGTGGGCTCCCTAGAAATTCTGTCTTGCTGCTGAAGCCCCCTCTTCTTGCATCAGTCAACAATTTTCAATGCATGTATATTAAAAGCACAGTCTGACCAGGTATGGTGGTACTCACAATCCTAGTATTAAAAAGACTGAAGCTAGAGGATCTCAAGTTAAGGTCAGTCTGGGTATCTAGAGAGTATTATGACCCTGTTTCAAAAAAGAAATAAAGGAAAAGTATAATCTGTAGGGTATTTGTCTGATGGAAAAAAAAATACAGATGGGATCTGGGACGAAGCCACCCTGTCTTTTGTTCCATGGACACTCAATGGAATAAATAGTTTCCTGCATCACAGAGGAGAATTTTAAATGCTTTGTTTTGTGGAAGTGGGACAGGAATCCTGGCAACATCTGTCAAACCTCCCAAGTGCTTCAATATGCTTGCAGCTGGCTAGGCCAAGTGGAGCCTCCTGACCAATACTGTCACCTATCTGGGCAGTGGCTTGGCAGCTTCTCAACTCCATCTAGGACGCACTGAGAGGGAGCTCTGGGGGACTCCACTATGTGCTTTAACAATCTCTCCAGGTGTCTCTGACAGGACTAAAATCTGAGAACCTTGGACTGGGTGACTGAGGGACGAGGGGCCTTACAATCACAGGTGACCTAAAAAAAATTAAAAGTAAGGGATGATTCAGTCGCTGGCTGACATTCCCAGTGTGGGCAGAACTAGGTTAAAGGACTCTGGGCATCCCACCACCAACCTTGATGTGCAAGCCTGGCATGATTTGAAGCACGGTGGTGGCGCCCTGGCTGTGCCCTCTGACTTCTAATTTATGATTAGTCCCCATCTGCACGCAATCACATCAGGGCCAAAGGGAAGCTTCAGCAAACTTTCCAAGGTGGGCTAACTTTCACAGCACCAGCCCTGGGCCCCCAAACAGAGAGACAGCCAAGTGCTTCACAGAGCTGCAGGGCAAGCCCCAAGCTGATCGCCCTGTCCCCTGAGGCCCATCTCCAGTTACAGAACTCAGCCAGTTCCAATCTGCTTCCCCAAAGCCTAGGATGTGTCCTGATTTTACAAAAAGCTGTTTGCGTACTTCAAGGGCTTCACCCCTTTCGATTGGGGCTTGGGTACGATTGTACTGGCCTAATTAATTCCTTTTCTTTTGAGTCCAAAGTGGAAGCCAGAGCACCAGGATGCAAATCAAATACAAACCCGCTCTGGACGCCAATACTCCGGACAATTAAAACAAAGAGCTCGGTGGCAGCAGCGGAGGCACCGCACAAAACCCTGGGGAAACATCCAGAACGTGTCGCCAATCAGGCGGCAGGGTGGGGCGCAGCCTGGGCTCCAAACGAGCAGGCAGCAAAGCCGTCCCCAAGCCCTGCAGGTGGACAGGTGGAGGTTGGCAGGGGTCAAAATCCATCCCTTAGGACTGGAAGCCGGGCGGCTGCGTGGCTCAACTCCAAGGGAGCGCCCTCCGCTCGCGCCCTGCGGGAATGGCGCCCCCCCCCCCCAGCCCCCAAGCCACCAAACAAACCCCAGTGCCTGGGCACGAAGTGGGTTGCGCGGTCGGCGGCTGGGTGGGCGCGGGCGGGAGATGAGGAAGGAGAGATGCAGAAGGGGAGGGAGTGAGGAAGAAAGGACGTGGAGGGAAGGGAGAAAGTAGAGAGAAGAGGAGGCGAGAAAGAAAGAGGAGCGAGAAAAGGGGGATCGCAGGCTGCAAGGGCGCGGAAGGGGCGGACGGGGGAGAGCGAGAGGGGTGGGGGCGGCCCGGAGCCCAGAGGACCT